GTTGACTTCCTTCTCTGATTGTTTTGCTGAAGTCTTCAGTTGGATTGTTCCTATCACTTTAAATTAAATCTATACAAGATTGAATTTACTGTTTTTCATTCTGACTGTTCTTCCTGTTGGCTTTTTTTCTTAGTTTTCAGGTTTGTTTCATGCCAGTTTTGGTGGTAGTGTGAAATCTGGGAGTTGTTCTTCATGAGAAATGTTCCTTAATGCTTTTCATCAGTAATAGCAGAATCTTTACCTTCCATCTCCTGATTATTCAGATAATTCAATCATTTCTTGTTGAGATGGCTAAGCAGCTAGTTTATGGTTTAGTTGTGTTTTGCATGGATTGTTGTAGCAGTTTCTTGGTAGATCTTCCTGAGGTCACTTTCCAACCTTTGGTGCAGGTTCAGAACTGTGTAAATCATGCTATTCTGGATCTCTCCCAAGCTTCTGCTATGCCTTCCTTTTATCGTTCTTTACAGTGGGTGAGTCTCTGAGAGGTATACCACTTTTAATTGCTGGCACTGAACACAGCAACACCTAGTTATTTGAATAATGTGATTGCACTTCATGTTTCTGTTTTCAGTTTGACTGTTGAATCAGGGTCAGTTAGTTTTTCCATAGGTTAGAATGGCTACTTCATGTTTCAAAGTCTTCTCTCATCTAACACCTCTTATTTGGTATTGAACCCCCTACTAAATACACCTGGAGCCTGATCTCCTGAAGTTTAAAATGGCACTTTTCTGAAGACCTTTTTGCGGTTGGGAAAATAATGTTGCTTAAATTATGGTAGAGCTGTGGTTAGATGATAGCTGTAATATCTGATTATTGGGTAATAATTGGCATCAAAGGTAATATATAAATTTAATAAATAGATAAATGGGGTGTCTCAATATCAGTCGGTCAGAAATATGAGTAGGAAGGTGCTATTTATTTCATGTTCTGTTTGTGGGCTTTCCACAGGCATTTGACTGGTGCTTTGAATGCCATACTAGTTTGGCCTTTGATCTAATCCAGCACAATACCTCATGTTCTTTAGATACTTTATTGGCATTTTTTAAAATTCATAATCATGCAGAATTATTTGATGTTTAAAGTATTTTAATTACACAGAAAGTGATTTTGGCTACAGCTGAAATTGATTACTACACAGAAGCCAGAAATACTTATCTCTATAACTATATGAAGAGATAAAATTAAGAACTTAATTCAGTGAAAGCCAATATGCATAACAGCCAATATACTCTTTATTTATTACCAGGGTAGAAATCAACTATATTTTAAACAAGCTAGCCAACAATTTATTTCCTCTTAGGCAGAGTTAGAACCAATGTTAGTGACTGACTGACTTTCTAGTCCTTGTGGCATACATCAGTGTCAAGCCCAGTGAGAATGTCTATTTGTGAGTCTTATTCTTTGAAGACTCTTTATAACATATCTTCTTTTCTTCTTGAATAATATAACACTGCATGTGCAATTTATCTTGCGTGACTTGTGGTATGGATTTTTTCCAGTTGTGTGTACATTCCTTTGTCAGATTATGATTTATTTCTATAAGCACTTTCCCATTTTAAGTTGTCAGATGTTTCCTGTACTTATACAACAGAATGTTTAACCTCTCAAATATACTGTGGAAAGCAAAATTCTAACACTGTAATACTGAATTCATTTACACATGGCTGCCCAACTGAAGTCAATGATTCTTTCACAAGTAGAGACAGAATCTATGAACAGTCTTTCTAAGATCTCACGATCCTGATGTTTAGAAGGCACATATGAAATTCCAAGTACTTTCTACTGTATAATAAATGGCTTATACTTTATACTGTATGGTGTAAGGATCAAAGAAGCCATATGCCCAGGAGGAGAAAATAATATCAATACATTTATTCTATTATACCTTTTTTTTTCATTGCAGAATGCTCTCATAAACCAAGGTATGGAATTAAAGGTTAATTCAATGCATGACCCTATCCTGTTGCCTTCAGTGCTCTCTGTCCATTACCTCCTAAAGACATCCGTTATAAGGTACCATTATATTTTAGCTTATGTGTATGTAATCACAGCCCATATTTGTTCAGAAATAAATCCTACTAGATTCAATAGGGCTTACTAAAAAAAGCATCTTTAATGAAAATACTATCTATCCTGTCCTATTGCTCTTTTCAGAATAACAATGTCATGCAAGTCATAACAAATTTACATAGTCAAGCAAATGTAGCAAAACAATATGGTCAGCAACTTCATGTACATTGGGGTATGTCTTTTTTTTTTTTCTATCAAGGGCCATATTCCCTCAAAGATAATCTGTTGGGGGCTGCATGCCAACAGTGGACATGACTGAAACAAGTGGGGATTAGAAACAAAGCCAAAAGTGGGTGGTATCATCTAGCCTTTGTTCTCTTTTGGCATCATCTGTCAGTCTTCTTCTGGGTGATACTGAAAGTCATACAGGCAGTGATTCAAGGATGCAGCTCTTTGAATAGAGTTAGAATTAGAAAAGCTTTAAAGAAGAATTAGAATTGAGAAATCTAGCAACTGCCATTGTTAAAATAAAAGCTCATATTTGAGCTTACACTCTGGTAATCAGCGCCAAGAAGTATTCTGACTTCTCCATTACTGTATCAGCAGTTGTTGTCCAACAGCCCTGTTTAAGATCATTCAATTCTTCCTGGGCAGAGATGAGCAAGAACTACTGCCTACTACTTCCGCTATGCTTTTGCACAACACTTTGCTGATGGAATCGCTCAAATTCATCAGAATGTTGACTCCTTGTGGGCAGGATCTGAGGTGGTGACTAGGACAAATTCTGGAACAAAAGAACAAATCTAAAAACCCAAAAAATGTTTAGCATATTTAAAATATCAGAGATACAGCATAACCAAAAGGAAAAAATATATTTTTCTTGTATGCTTTTATTCAGTTAGTAACACCTCTGTCTTCTATGTAATCTTTGCCCTTTTACTCAGTCTGACAAAATGCTTGACTGGTAACTTTTAAACATCATTTGAAAACATTTCCAAGAAAAAACGAAGGGAAAAATAAACATGTACGGAGTGATAAATGTGTGTAGTCTTTTCCTTTAGTGTATGAGTTGACTCTAGGGTCTACCTTACAGATGCACAGATTAGTAAGAATTCTTTCTCCTTCCAAAATAATAAATATATAGTCAAATGAAGATTGTATGCATGTATAAATCTGAAACACAATTTTAAGTGCTGGGAACAAACTTCAAATTGAAATTCTTCCAAATATAAACTTATGTATATATAGAAAAGTTACATGTAAAACATAATACAAGCAGTGCCCTGCTGGATCGGACCCTTGCCCCATCTAGTTCAGCAGTTTGTTCTCACAGTGGCCAACCAACTACACAAAGAAGCCCACTAGTCTCCCAGCAGATGGTCTTCAGAGGCAGTCACACTGCCATCATGGCTAATGGTCATTGATCCCCATGACTTCCATGAATTGATCCAACCCCTTTTTTGAAGTCAGCCAGGTTGGAAGCCAGCACATCTTTTGGTAGTCAGTTCCAAAATCTCATATTAAACAATTGCAAATTCAACTGTGTAGTTTCATGAAGCAAGTTGCTATGGAGTATGGAGCGTAACCATGGGGTGTTGAGGTGGGGACTGGTTTCAGAGAAATCATTTTAAAGCTCCTGTGGGTTCATAGAACTGGTTTATGGTTGTTCACATTTTTACCATGAACACAGTCATCACAAACAAATTAGGCAGCTTCAGAGAGGAAGGGGAAAAAGTGATTCTGAAATAGATTTACTTCAGGATTTTCTCCTGAAGATAACACAACTTGTGACTAATATCTAAAACGGCAGAAACATCATGAGAGTAGCCAATACTGAAAACAAAGGTCATAACAAGAAATGTTAGGGTTTCTTTCTGATAACTAATGTGAAAACTTCCGTGCATGTGACCATACACATTATATTTTTTTATTGTATTTAATACTTGTATTTTATTTTTTTATTATTTATGTTTTTAATTGATTTTAAATTGTTTTGTTGTGAACCGCCCAGAGTCTCTCCTTGTGGGGGAGTTGGGTGGTGATATAAATTTGACATAAATAAATAAATAAATAAATAAATGCATACTGAAACATCCAACAAAACGTGGAAAATCAGTAAGGCAGATAAAGTTTGTTTGTTTATTGATTGACTGAATTTATATAGCGGCCCATCTCACACAAAGTGACTCTGGGCAATGTACAAGAAGTTACCAGGCATCCAGTATAAACCACCACCACCACCACCACATGCATATCAATAAGTATTTTAAAATAATCTTACTCCATGCATTAATAAAAAATACCTAAATTTTAACATGGATTTATTAAAACAACATTTTGGTTATTTATTTATTGAATTTATAATAGCCGCCCATCTCAAGTACATTACTCTGGGTGACGAACAATCATTAAGAACAAAATAAAGACAATGTAACAAAATTATAAATAACATAAACAGCAGCCAGGAAAAGATAACCAACAGTAACAGTAATCATTCACAACAATTAATAAACCAAGGAACTGGCTTACCCACACCAACATTCCTAGACATATATGTTAGCTTTGAGATTGAAAACAAAAACTTCAAATACTAATGAAGTCCAATATATCTGGAGGGCACCTGGTTGGGGAAAGAGTTTTAATTGATGGACTAGAAGGAAAAAACAGTGGCGGGTGGTGATCGAAAGAGTAGGAAGGAACATGGATCTGTCCGAGGGAGGAAGAGAAGGCTTTTAAAAATGCCGAATGGGAGATGAGGCAATTGTTTAGTTTATTATATCAGTCAAAACCTTGGCATATATATGGCGTGATCTCTCGGAGAGTTAGGATCTGGCTGAAGTCGCACATTGCGCTACATATTGGGGTTTCTTTGGTATAGCGTGTTCTGTGATTAACCTCTGGGGTTTATTTAACAATCCCTGTTAAATAACCATGACTACAGCAACACATGCACGCTCCCAGCAAAGTGCCTCTGGATATAGGCGCGGTGCTCGACGCCGCTGACCTGTCTTTGGGAAGAGAATGATCACGTGCGAAGGGCTGCTTTTCTTTTGAAGAGATTCCTACGGGAAACAAGTAATAACGAGAGCAGTGAAGGGGCACACATCTAAGAAGCATACCACCTTTGCCGGATAGCAATTCCCTCCCAGCAACTTTCCACGTTCCGGTAACCCGCATCACGTCCCCTCGCCCCACCTCCCCCGACTCTGGCTCTTCCGAAAGCGCGCTCGCTGCCTTTGGAGCGGCGACGGAACGATGCGGCCGCGCTTGGCCCCTCCCTGCTGCCGCTCTAGCCTGCTCTCTCTATTCTTCCGTGGAATCGCGTAGCCGAGCGCGTGGCTGCTCCGTTCTGGCGCCCGCAAAAGAGGGGGGACCGGGCAGCTCCAAGAGCAAAAGACACGCACCAGGAAGGAAAGGCTAACTTAAACCACTGCACCCACCGACCTTTCTTCTGCCCGCCCTCTGTTTCCTGCTGTGTGGGCCTCTTCCTCTTTCTGTCCCCCCTCCCCTTTCTTCGGTTTACAGTATTGGTTTCACCCTCTCTTCTGAGCTTCACTTGATCTTTTCTAGGGCTTCTTTTTCATCAGGATATTAATGTGCACCTATATAATCTCAATTTATAGCAGACCCTGAGAGAGAGAGAGGGAAAAAAAAAAACGTTTTACCACCCCGATGCTAATTCTCGCTTGTGAGATGTCACATTCTGTTAGTTTGCATTTCTGCTTTTATATCTGTCCTGTGTTGGTTTATTTTTTTCTGAATTTATAATTACAAATGGATTGCTCTGAAACAGTCTGTCAGGAAGCTGGTAAATTGCCTCCCCTTTTACAAGACAATGTCTGTGCAAATGATCCTGGACTTGCCAAGCAAGACCATTCACACAGTCCATCACCTCCTTTCTTCAGCGGCACTCAATTGAAGTCTGTTGTTCCTTTAAATAGGAAAGTAGGAGGAAGCAGTAGGATTCAGGTGGTATGTTCTATTATCTTCCATATTGGCTGTTAATGACTGGTTTTGTGCGGAAATATCAATATATATATATATGACTTCAAGTATATGTAGGATTGTGAACTACCATTGATCAAGAAAAAGTTACATCCCTAGCTGCAGGGCCTTACTGGCAGGCTAATCAAGAAGGATGTAGAAGTGGTTGCAGTCATTACTTTAGTCCTTTCTTTTAGGCATGCTAATGGAGCAAGATGTATACTAAGAACAGAACTAAGTATTAGCTACAAATGTGTGTTATACTGACAACAATGGGATACATTTTGTGTGTGTATTTTCAGGCTCAAAGCCACTTCAAAATAGAGAAGAGTGTGCTTAATCTTTTCCCTGCCTATTTTTTTACAGTACTGTAGAGTACAGCATTTGTAATTTTGTCATATGCATATTTATATAATGTTTAATTAGTTCCTAATCAGCTTCTTAAAGTAACTTCAAAATTTCTACTTGTTAAGACTTAGTGTTCACCTTCTTTCTACTGTAAGTGGAAGCACCTAGAATTAGAATTAGAAAAAGCAAACCAGAGAGTTTTGAGACTACAAGGAAGGAAGGAAGGAAGGAAGGAAGGAAAGATCCTGCAACTAGCTTTGTATTTTTGCCAAGAAAACAATATGGATGTGTCCATGTAGTAACCAGGAGCTGAGCTCAACTTAAGACAGACTTTTTTCCATTTATATCTGTGCCATGACACAAATGATTTGTCTTTTGTGCCTTAAACCATGGTGTGAGAACCATGTGTAGAATACTGTAGACGCCTAGGAACTACTCATTGGGAATCTGTATTTTCCCCATGCATTAAATATTGTTTTAAAATAATACATTCATTTAAAACTTCCGTGTGGTTGTTTTTAAAATGTGTATTGCTTGGGAATCCAAACTCTTAAGCTGACTAATCTTACCTGTGGTGGTGGGAGCTGTAGGGAAAGGGATCTGGAGGATACCAGTCTATGGAGGTTCTTAATATTTGCTAAACTTCCTGAGAGCCTTGGTAACCTGCCAAAATGCTTGCCTGCTGTGACCCTATGCTTCTTTTGACATGTTGGGAGGGTAGAGCCTTCCCTTTTGATGCGCTTAGCTTTAAAGGTCCTTGAAACATCTTGAAAGCACAGCATGAGGTCAAAGGCCATCCTCGTGACCTCTCTCCAGTTCAGACTACAAGGATGATGGAGCTTGTCTGTGTTATGCTAAATTGTGGATGCCGAGTGCCTCTAAAACCCAGGGCAATTATAAGCATAATCTTCTGTTCTGAGGTCCAAGTTCAGTGGAACAAAAGAGTTAATCACACTTGCTAGAAGGGAAAAGTGTGTACACCATGGCATTTTGGGATGCAGATTGATTGACTCCTTACATATCCACTGCTTTTCTTATGAGATAGATTCTTATCTCTTAAGACATGCATGTTCATATTGCATTTTCTCAAAGTCTGTAAGTACTTATTTACTAGAATAAGTATAATTTAGCTCAGAATAATATAGTTGCTTATGTCCTTCAAAAGCTTTTTTTTTTAATCAAAGTGTGATGGTAATTAAACTACATGTTAAATGTTGATAATGCTACCAGCAATGTTACACATGAGTGGAAGATGTCTTTGTACTTGAATGTAGTGCTATTGTAGTTTTAACACAGGAGCTCTGACTGTAACTGGAGAGTTACAAAATTTGGAATTAATTTATAATGACCTGTGTTGTTATTAGCTTTTGCAGAACAATCTCTGATTTTGATTGATGCAGGTTGGGGACATTAAAATTAAAAAAACCTGCTTGAGCCTTTTAATTATTTGCTCCAGATTTATTTTGATTTGGGGTGGGATAGTCAAGTTCTGCACACTGTACTTTGCACAAAGTAACTTTTGGGGAGGGTTCACTATCTTCAGCTCTTGAATGGAAGGTGGGATATAAATCTAGTAAATATATACGTATATGAATATATTAAGTCTTTTGAATACTGCAGCTATATATGGGATTAGATTCAGATAGTGCTGCTCTTTGTTGATCTCAGGTAGGCAAGTGTGTCCCCAAATCAACTCTGATAATAAATTGAAGTAATAGGGAACCAAGACATGCTTGGGGAGATAGAAGAGACTAGAATAAGGGAACGACAGTAACACTGGAGGAACATTAATCTTGCTTTCACCAATTTTAATAAGGGAAAAGGAGCCATCTCTGCTCAGAGATCATAGCTCTTAAGCAAATATAATAAAAATGTGTTTGTTTAAATCAGGCAACAAGAGTGATAATGCAGCATATTGATGTTACATTAATGTATTTTTATTCACTGTAGTCTGTAATTCTGCCAGTCTACAATGCTGAGTCCTGGCTGGATGAATGTCTCAAGTCTGTTCTGGATCAAGACTTCCAAGGTTCTATTGAACTCTCTGTCTTTAATGATGCTAGCAAGGTATGTAGATTTATAATAATCTGTTTCTAGTTTTACTGTACTACTATAATTTGAATACCAGTTATGGTTAATTTGTTTAATGTTTAAAAGTTAAACTTTTTTGGTGCTTTTTCTTACCAGGACAATTCTATAAATATAATTAAAAAATGGAAGATTTTGTTGGAAGAAGCAGGCATTCGGGTAGTGCTTGGAGAAAATTATTCATCTCAGCCACGTGGAGGTAGGAACTTTAAAAATACAGGTGTAACGTATTTTCCTTAGCATGGCAAATTAAGAGATAATTTAGATATATGAGTATAGTTACACAGTACAAATATATTATACATGAGCTATGTGCTGGGAAATCAGCCTCCTGGCTCTTTCTTTGGTCTTCCCTAATATAATGGCTGTTGAAGAAACTAGGGCTTGTTAAGTAGGACCATTTGAGGGTCCTCCTGGACTTGCAGTTCCTATTCAAGGAATTGGTGGTCGGGTAGCTAGGAGGGCTTTTGCACAGCTTTGTGTTGTGTGCCAGTTGTGCCCTTACCTGGACCAGAAAGCTCTTCTTACGGTTACCATGGTTTAGTCACCTCCTGAGTGGACTGCTGCAATGCACTTTACATGAGACTGCCCTCAAAGAGCATCCAGAAGGTGCAGCTGGTTCAAAATATGGTGGCATGTGAGCACCCTTTAATGTGTGCAAGTTGCACCTCTGCACCATTAGCTGCATTGGTTGCCAGTATGCTTCTAAGTGTAGTTCAGGTGCTGGTTGTGCTTCACGGCATAGGACTCAGTTATCTGCAGGATTGCCTCTCCTTGATCATTTCTATCCATCCCATTAGATCTGGCAGAAGAGGCATGTTATGGGTCATGTCAGTTAAAGAAAGTGATCTGGTAGGATTCAGGAAGAGAGCCTGTTGTGGCAGTGTGATTGAAGCCTACCTGTTTATCAAAATAAATCTCTTCTCAGAATTTGACATACTAAGCATTTTATGGCTGCTGTATTAACAAGTTTTATTAAATTCAATTGACTAGGTATATTTCCAAATAAAAATTGAAAACCAATTAGTATCAGTTTGATGCATTTAGAAATCCACTGTAAATCACTCTGACTTGCCTGGCAAAAAATTGAATATTTTGTATCTTAAATTTCTGGAAATTTATCCCTGTTTTTTTGTTTTCTTGTCAGTTTTCAATATGCATTTCAGAAACAAATAATGTCTATTCTTTATCAAGTACTGTATAAGGTATAGCTTGGTTGAAATGACCAGAAAAGAAAAAGCCACTGCCTTTGTGGCAGACTGGGAAGAAGCCAGCCTGGTTGTATGCTAGACTGAAAAGTATGAATAATGTTAAATTTGTGATCCCAGCCAAAACAAATAGCTCTGGTGTTGTTGGAATAGGCTGGAAAGTAACGAATTCAAGTTGAATTGCCAAGTCTAACCACTCTAGAATGGAGAGCAGTTCACTGGGGTATGAACTGTGAATGGTTTGTATTGAGTTTTAAAATTGGTGTACTTTTTGGAGAGATTGCTAAAACAAAAAAGACAAGAGAAAGAATAAATTGCATTTAGGAAATGCCTCATTTGTTTTCCATAATAAATTCCTAGGCACCTTTATTAAGAAAGTTTTAATTTGTTTCCCCTTTCAATTTCAGTAAGTTTATAAACACTTTATGTGATATATAATACAATCTGGATTGCCTTTTTCCATTAAGATTATTTGGAAATTGCAGGTAAAAGAAAAGCCTGAAAATGTGCTTCGCTTATCATTTCTCTCTTTCTCTCCCGCACACATATCTTTGTATAACTATGTATATATCTTCACAGTTTGTATATATTCTATTTATGAGAAAGGAAAACCTGACTTTAAGATGATCCACTCCCCACAGATGAAGAACAGGTAGAAGAAAATTATTTATAAACATAGACAAACATATTGTGCGGTGCCCTGTTTTCTCAATGTGTCAGCCTGGCTATTCAACTCTTTAACTCAGTCCTGTAGGTATTTTTTTTCCTAATAATTATGTACATATGTGTACTGCTGGAGCCACACTCCAGAAACTGGCAGGGCCAGAAAAAAATAACATCGACTGAAGTTAATATCTACTGAATAAAATAACTTGCCTGTAAAATAAGGTACCCCAATTATAAAATTAATTCACTTCCCATCTGCGTATTCCAACCATTCTTTCTCTCACAACTCACTCTCATAGATAGGAACATTCAAACGTGCATGAGTGTGTATGCATACACATACATATACACACACACGCACTAATTTTCATCCATCCATCCAAGCCAAAACAACAACAACAAACCAAAACAAGAACAAAAGGGTCAAGGTGGGATGGGGTGGGATGGGATAGGATGGGATGGGATAGGATAATGGGTAGCTGTGTAAGGAAGAGAAGGGGACACAAAAGTGGGAATAAAAGTGGATGAAGATGAGGCAAGGGAAAGAGAATGGAGCAGGGAATGAAAGAAAAGTGAGAGAAGATCTATTTAGGCATAACAGTAAGGGTTAACATGTAGTAGGCAAATAACTCATCCCAGGGAATACCTAATCTAATGGATCCATTGTTTTTCAGCAATCTAATCACTTGACACCCCCACCTTATGTAAAAAACCTTGTTTTCCTACTTGTAAACACTCTGTGTAATGTGTATGTGCTCCCAAGCCTGCAGGGATAATTGCACTTCACATAGCACATCGTTCATTTCATTTCATTTCATTTTTTTACTTTCTGCACTGCTCCAGTCAGAAGACACTTGAGTGCTTTACCGTATGCCTACAATAATAGAGTTAAAAAAGTGAAACAAAGCCACAAGGAAACAAAAGACACCCACCACATACTGGTCTCACTACATCCCCAAAGTGTGCCCCTATCTTGGCACATTCAGTACTCCCTTGTGGAAATAGAGGTAACAATCCCAGGACCTTTTCTGTTGTGGGTTTGGAGCCCAGAAATTTTAAGGAGAATTGACACTACGGTTTCACTATTCGATTTTAAGTACATACAGTGCCCCACAAAGTTGGGCCTGGATCATTCATAACAGCCATAATTGTTTGTGGCGTCTTTTGGCTTAGCATGATTATCATTACTAATCTTCTAGCATTACTTGAGTGCTACTAGTGAAGCTTGTCCAGCAAGCTACTGTTATAAAATAGCAACAAATAATGTAGCTTAGCATTAAAAGTGCACCAGCCACTTCTCTCAAAACTCCCCTCTTCCAAAGTCATGTTGCTTTATGAGAAATGACATTTGGGATTTTATAACATATATTTTTAATTCTGTCATGGGATTATAAAACAGTGATGGTGGAAGTTTTTTAATACTAAAAAAAGATTTTTAGCCATTCTTTATAACATAATATGAACAAATTGTGAGAAATTTCCCAGTTTATCCATACACTAGCCTGTTCAAACATTCTGTCCAATTCTAATGTGATTAAGAACACAGATTATTAGATATGTTAAATACTTAAGGGAATTCAGATTAACTGTAACTTCCTTGAATTGGTCGATGATTCTTTAAATTCCCTCTGGGTTATTCCATATTTACTGCTTCATAAGCTTGGAACCCAATTCTTTAGAGATGTTCTAAAAATGGAACTTCTCTTAAAACCAGTTTAACACTTTTTAAAGTTGACTATTTATACATCTTCAGAAAAAAAAATGTTTTGTGATTTCTATGTTACTAGGCTTAGAAATTAATTTTTAAATCCTCCTTAAACTTTTGTCACAGTGGCATATTTTTTTAGAAAAATTCTAAAATGTATTTCTGCAAAATAGAAACCTATGATTTTTTTTTCTATTTACTTTACTCTGAATTTTCTCAGTCTTTGGTAAGTAAGTTGAGGAAGGGTGTATTTGAAAAGAGATTGCTGCAAATGAATCCTTTTCAATGAAGAATATGTGCATTTGAAGAGCCTGTTTAGCTGGAAACGTTGTTGATCCCTATATCCTTAGTGATTTACTTTGCTGTAGTTATGAGTAGTTAGCATGTGTAGAGGGTATTTCCTTTGAAACAAGCCCCTCTCCAGCCCCCGGGGATGAAACAATGTGACAGTCTTCACATCCCGTGTTTACACTGGATTAAGATTCATTTCTGGTTCTTTTCTGTCATGGAAAAGGAACAAGAAAAACAAAGGGGAAAACTCCCCACAAAAGAGAGGGTCAGTGCTTTTAAAGAAACTACCACAAAACTACTTCTTTCCAAGAGTGAGGAATGTTAATATCTCATGGGGTCTTAGGTTTTTACTCCTGTGGCCATGGCAACATGTTCTTTTCAGTAACGGAGCAGGCCTTACAAAATTGCAAAGGCCTGGCACAGACATTTGACTCTCCTCAGTACAGCAATATCACAATGCATTCCTTGCTCATGCCAAATGCAAGATTCATAGTACAAGTCCCGTTTTAAAGTTTTCGTACAGAATGAAATATCTGGAATCATTGTTGCCTTGATATCAAAAAAGGTTGCTGTGAGCAGCTGATGGCTAAATCGTTTAGTAACTTAAGCATCTTTTTCTACAACTTAATATCTTATTCTACAGCTATCTGCACTTGAACAGGTTGTTCTTCCTTTGCCCGAAATATCTTATTCTTCAATATCTTAATCTGTAACTATTTCACTTGAACAGGTTGTTTCTTTTTTGGCCCAAATATCTCATCACTGTCTTGCCTCTTTATTTTCATTTCAGTGTTTATTTTCATTAACAAAAATTTGTTTAAGAATTCTATTCTCCGTCCTTAAACCATGGTTATCATTTAAGCAGCATTACTTTCTGACATTACATTATGAACTCAGGACAACTCAATATGATAAGCATTTTTGACTGATTTATAATGCAATCAAATAGGGATCAGGTTAGCTATTAAGTGTTAGACAAAAAGATTTAAAATAATTTAATTATTCCCCCCTTTCATCTTAGGATATGCTGACCTGTAGGAATGATCTGTGGCTAAATTGTGCTTAAACCCAGCTTTATTTTACTTATTAGCTATAGAGGATATTTACTTACTATATAGGTGAATATTGAAATATTATATAATGAGGATGGAAAGAAAGAGATTGGATTATACTACTGCAGAATAATCTTCTGGAACAGTGACTACTCCATGGTAGGATTAGTTGTTCAACTCTAGTCTCTTCATTTTATTTTTTAGGAGATAATTATTCAAATTATGGATTCTTTTGGTGAACCTGCTGAAATCTGCAGAGGATATGGTAATGCTAGTTGTGGCAGCCACTGAATTGCTCAGATAGCTTTGATTTAGAGTCCGCTTCATTATAAAGTTCAACTATGATCTCAGTTCTATGAATTTCCCTCTTAAGTTGTCTAAATTGCTGTATGTACACAAGAAAGAAGTAATATCAGGCTTAGGGGAGCCCCAGTGTTTATAGAAACACAAAATAAATATTTTTAGGGGAAAAAAACTTGTTTTCCCTCCTATGTAATAATCCAATGAATACTGAAGTGAGCATGCTCAATGGCCATGGAATGCAGGGTGGGAAAGGACACATACCATTTCACGGGATGAGAAAATCAAATAAAGTATATTGAACAGGACCCTGTGCAGTGTAAAAAAAGAATGCACCACTTATAGTCATTTTCCCACGTCTCCTGCACTGAGGATTTTACCCAGTGTGATAATGAAATATTTACAACCCCAAAGTTAGTTTGTAGAACACAGCATGTCAGCTTTGAGCTACACATGTTTTGGGGGTTGGACTAAAAACCTCCAAGATCTCTTCCAATCCTATGATTCTATGATTCTATTGTCACAACTACTTCTTTTTTCCTCTTACGTATATAGAATTTCAGGAAGGAAATATAATTTCATTCTCTTTTTAAATGTGTTTTAAGATACATGTGTTGAATTGATTGAAGAATTATTTTTCATTGATCTAGTGTATTTTTTTACTGTAGATAATAAAGAGTTCTCTGGGCAATGTATGAGTTAAAACATATTGTAAAAAAACCCAAACAAACTATGTAAAACAGCATAGAACAGCATAAAAAAACCTGAATGCAGAACAGTACACTAGGTATAGGATAAAATCACAATGAAGTGGCAAATAAACACTAATAGCTATCAAATAGGATATTTGAATTTTTACTTTACAATTTCAAAAACTGCAATTGTTATGCTTAGTGCTTGAACTATACCTTTTGTGCTTGTTTTGTAATGCATTTGGTGGACTTTTGTTGTTAAAATATTGAACTAAATGAATGCTTCAATTCCTTAGCTACACATAAAATCACAAGCTGAGGGGTCTTGTACTGTACTTGATACGAAGTTTAGGTTAGTTCATATATGAGTTATTTGGGCTTACTATATCAGATTCATTAGATTCCTAAGAGTAAAATAAAACTTTTTACCACCTTTGCTCCTTATATTCTTTTATATCATCATGTCCCTTTTTAAAAATCTTAATTCTGAACTCTGTGTATTTTTGTTTTCCCGTTACCCCTTCACTCTTCTCATTTCTTCTTTTCTCCATCTTCGCAGAGCATTTTGGGAGAGACAATGAACTATTTCTTCCATAGGATACATGCTTTCATAATTTTACTTTATTCAAGTGACAATTTTATTTTTGCCAAAGATCTTTGTAATACAGGCATACAGAATAAAAAAGGATATTAAAACTCATAATTTATTTATTCTAAAACCTATAAAATTAAATTTCAAACCAGGAAGCAGCTACAGAGCCTGCTCCACCAAGCCATCTTGCTTCCTGTGTTTCTTTTTTTATCCTAGCCTGCAGAAAAGATTTAAACTCAAGGTAGGCAAACCACAAACCAGCACTATCTGCCTTTTAAAAAAAGTAAAATCCAACAGTTTATTAGCTGTAGACAAGTATATGACAGCAGACATAGAACTAAGAAAAATGGTTCCTCTGAATATATGCTTTGTCCATTTTTAGTACCAGAACTGGAACTTACACCATCTTTTCTCAGATAAATCTGTTTTTATTCCCACCTTTTTGATTTTTGAGTCAAATAATTTTTTTTAAAAATTTTCATATCAAAAGCCATCAGGAGACAAAAATCTTTGTAGACATCTGTGTCTTAAACTAATAGATTCTAACCTATACATTATTGAATTTTGCAAGATTTTGACATTCTTGCCCAATATTTTGAAAGATTTCAGATGGAACACAAAAATCTTCTGAGATTTGGTTATCTCAAGATTTCAGATGCCTGTCTGTCTTTCTCCCCATCCTCCTCATATAAATAAATAAATAGCTTGTGCTGATGCCATTGGGGAAATCATTTTGGGTCACTGGGTGCTCACAAGCCTATGTTGCCAAACCCTGGATATAAACTGATTTGTAAATGCTTTGGATAATAATGCAACAGTCTATATAAATAGATTGGGAATTGCTGGCTTCCCATGGCATCTGAACCAGGTACAGTTAAACCTTGATTTAATGGAACATTTGAGTGGCAGGGGTGTCCATTCAATCTGAATCTATGCAATTAACATGATGTTACTTGCATATATAAATTAGTGGAATTAGTGTAAAATGCCAATTCCATAGTTACACAAATTATGTGCGTTGATGTAAATCATGTGAATTATGTCAATTGTATAAACTGCTTTGGAGATCATTGGCTTTGCCCACTGTTTGGAAGTGAGGTCTGAAGTAATTTTTTTCCTTTTGCATCTGAAGTCTGAATGGATTTCTGTAGAATCAAAACTTTATTATAATGCTTCCTTCAAAACACAGAAAGGGAGGGAAAGGATTTTTACTTCATATGTATGCAAATCAGGATTTATTTAGGGTGCTCAATCCAAACTGTAATTGCTTAATGAGTATATACTTCAGATCTATGTTGGAGAGAATGCTAATTTGTATAGGTATTTGGACTTACCTTTTAGAATTTAATTTAAAATTACCCAATTTCAAATATAAAAACATAAATTGCAGCTATTTTCATATACTGCATTGACTTTATATTTTGTCAACAGTGGGCTTTGCTAAAAATTGTGCAATTGATCAGAGCTCGGGAGAATACCTCTGCTTTCTGGACTCGGTAAGTTTTTTCTAGGAATCGTTTGTTATATGTATTATAAAAATGTATATTTTCAGCTGTCTTGTTCCTCCCTTTTTTATTATCATATGATTGTGGTTGATGGTTTTTGATAGCTTTATGTGTTTCATTTAGAAGTATTATTTGATACATTTTACAGCTATTTCTACATAGTCCCTTAGTTATTAAAATAGGGTTATAAAGGCTGTATAGTGTAACTAGAGGCGAAAGTTGCTGAGATTACCATAAACCTTTGGGTTATGTGCAAGTTGCGTCCATTGCTAGACCAGGAGGCATGCCTCACAGTCACTCATGACCTCGTTACCTCACGTTTGGATTACTGCAACATGTTCTACATGGGGCTGCCCTTGAAGAGCATTTGGAAGCTTCAACTGGCGCAAAATACGGCTGCTTGGGTAGTAAATGGTGCCCGATATACAGCACATGTAATACCACTATTACGGGAGCTGCATTGGTTACTGGTATGTTTCTGGGTGCAATTCAAGATGCTGGTTGTCATCTTTAAAGCTCTGCATGGCTTGGGACTGGGTTAACTAAGGGACCATCTTCTCCCAATAGTTTCTACCCATTCAGTTCAGTCTAGTAGATTGGGGATACTGCGGATCCCGTCAGCCAAGGAATGTCGACTGGCGGGGACCAGAAGACGTGTCTTCTCAGCAGTAGCCTCTGCCCTTTGGAACATTCTTCCTTTGGAGCTAGCCCCAACCCTGCTAGCCTTTCATGAGGCTTTAAAACCTGGCTATGTGCCTGAGGCTGGGGTCCCGAAAGCGTTAAGGGCCCCATTACCTGATTGCACTGTTGATTTTTATGTAATTTTTAGATAATTCTTGGCTGCCTGTATGTATAATTTTTAATTGTTTTAAAGGTTTTAATTATTGAAATTGTTTGTCACCTAAAGTCACTTGGATTGAGAGGGGCAGCTGTAGAAATTGCATAAATAAATAAATAGCTAGCTAGCTAGCTGGTGAGCCACACGTTTTTGGTCTCTGACTTAATGCTCAAAATGTAAGTGACCACTCCATTAATTTGGAACAGAGCTGCTGCATGTTATGAACTATGCCATTGCTTCAGGCATCATGTACTATAGTCTGTAAGACAATTTACTCAAAAGGTGCTCTCCAAATGATTTTGATTACTGTTTTGATTACCATAATTCCCATGGTTGATTATCCAACTGTTTGAACTTTTCCAACCCCTCCTCCTTATCCATACAATGTAGGATTTAAATATGGGGTCCCTCCACTCAGAGTCCAGTATCTTGGATAAAAATATAACTACTAGCACTGTGAGCAAGCTTGGTTGTGGCCCATGGGGCCAGCAACAACATTGCTACCTAATCCTCTCTCAGATTCTCAGAGCAGCAGAGGGGGGCTTAAATGGGTCTGTATGAATATTTCTGTTTAAATATTCAACACTGCAGGTAAGAGCTCCTACAAGTGGACCCAGAATTAATGAGCTCACATTTCCTAGGAGGATGAGTGCTTTAACTACAGCAACAAAGGATACCTTTTCTTTTCCTCCAGAGACCTTCTCTGTGTTGCTGCCAGAAGCATGTAAGAATTTGGCAATTAGGAGGAGGAGGCTAATCTAGCAGAAATGCTGTTTTTGGCAGAGATCTGCACTGGTTGTCTTGCCAGAATCATCTAGACCTCCCAGTGTGCTTTTCCTTCTTTTACCTTAAAGCAGCCATAACAATGGAAAGAACAAAACTAGAGAAAATTAATTTCTACTATAAGTTAACAAACAAATTTTATTGAACTGGCTGTTGGATTAGCCTACTGTATGAATGGTTAGTCAGTTCTGTATAGTTCTAACTTCAAATCCCTCCTTATCAAATATAAATTTGCATCAGGCATTTTGCGTCTCTTCAAGGATCCCTCTGTAGACGCTTCTATTGTAGTAATGTTATCATGAGCAGTTACTGTTACAGTTGTAGGGATGGCTCATCTATGTGATAAATGCATAGAGGTAGACATATTTAAACAGTTCAGTACTTTGGCAGATGCCCTTCAACTATTAGTTTTTGGCTTTGCTAATGCCACCTCTCAAGAGTTACCTAGTAAAGTTTCCTATAGTAAGCTTATTTAGCAAATCATGAAGAAATAATATTTTCTGCAGTCCTCTTGCCAGTTCATCAGTAAATACCTGTTAATCTAGGCTGCTTACTAGGAGCTAGCTGAATTGTTTGGCTAAGAAACTGGGATGTTAATCCAGGACAACAGGCATGTATTTATTTATTTACTTATTTATTTCCCCATTTCACTCTTTTTCTCCAGTACAACTTCAGAACTGAAAGTCAAGTTTGAGGACCTTCTATATTTTTAAACTTTTCTATATTTTGTCAATGGAGTGATTATTCTCCCTTGCATTAGCTAGCAGTGCTACTTAGTTTGGGGGTATCCTATCAAATGCTGGTACCCTGCCAAATCCTGGTTTTGCCACTTAATTTCAACAGTGTAATCTCAGATTGCTTGTGTAGCACAAATAGAGTGCCAGGAGATAGATTCTGTGTTGCCCATCTCTGACTGGGTAACAGCAACAATAGCCACTTTGGGAGATATAAAGGAGCATATGGGCTTTACGATACCCCATTTACTGGTATTCATAATCTGAATTTTATTCCCTGTCTATGGCTGCTTTTGGCTGTAGAGTTCTTTTGAGAGCGACAATATTGAAATGTTTGCTTCCTGGAAACTCTGCCTTCACAAATGCTCTCCATAAGGCTCAGGAGAAAACATAAATTATCTCTCTGCAAGTGTCTGTTTCCTGAATATCATGGAGAACATTTTCTTCCAAGATCATAAAAGAAAACTAAACTAAACAACAGCAGGATGGGGTCTGTGGTCATCATCATACATCAGGAGATTGGCAGATCCTCCCAAGAGTATGAGGGTTGTCTTTTTCTTTACTCATTTCTTCGGTTTGTTATCTGCGTTACCTATAGTGTTGTTCTGAGGTTTTTTAGATGATCTCTTTGACATCTGTCCTCCTGGGCGATTAAATTGAGAAGTTGGGTCTTGCCTACTTGTTCCAAAAGGAGATGCCATCCATCAGGTGATGAATGCTCTTTAAATATTTCTGTTTTCTCCTTTAGTGGAGAATGATTCTTCTGTTAATTTATCCGTAGCCATATGCCATTTTGCTTCTGCAAATACAGCAAGAGATATTTGATGTACTTAGGTCCTATGATCCTTGCTTTATCTGAACCACAAATTTGACTATTTTTCTTCTCTCATGGCTATCAAGTTAGTATAACAAGTTAACTAGAGCAAAGTGTGTTTGACAGTGAGACTATATTTATTAATCATCCTGAACTGTGGAGAAAATGCACCAGTAACAAGGAAGAAAGGGAAAATAAAATATTACAATTGCACAAAAGTAAACATGTTAACGGTATAGTACATTTAATTGTAGAGCACATTAGCAAACAAATATATTTTGAAAAATTTGGGGTCAATTGTTCTAAATCTTTGACTCTTCATATTCTTTCCTAGGTGTAAAGAGGGTGCAGTTCCTGGTTTGTAGTGACTATATCTCCCTTAGAGAAGCCAATTAGTATGATTTTTCTTAAAGTACCTGAACCTGTCAAGAGAGTGACAATCTTAAAGCAGTAATGCTTAGTCTCTCCTTGTCCTTGATTTTCCTTGTTGATCGTCAGTTTTTTAATTAATTAATTAATACATACATACATGCATACATACATACAATTTATATGGCTGCCCATCTCAATGAGTGACTCTGGGCATCCAGAATTAAAATATATTAAAAGCAATAATAAACATAAACATTAAAATTAAAATTAAAGGCAGCCGAGAAACAAGAACCCAAATCACTAACACAGTCAAGAAGTGGGTCCCTGCAGAGAACCAGGTCTTTAGGGCTTTATGAAAGGCCACCAGAGTTGGGGCCACCCTGCTCTCCGGAGGGAGAATGTTCCATAAGGTGGGTACTACAGCAGAAAAGGTACGTCTTCTAGGCCCCTCCAACCAGCATTCTTTGGCCGATGGGACCCAAAGCATGCTCATCCTGCCTGACTGGACTGGATAGGTAGAAACAACTGGGGAGAGATGGTGCCTCAAGTAACCCAGTCCTAATGCCATGAAGGTGACAACCAGCACCTTGAGTTGCACCCAGAAGCACACTGACAACCAATGCAGCTCAACGAAGTAGTGGTGTTACATTTGCCAGGTAAATGGCTCCATTTACTACCTATGCTGCTGTGTTCTGCACCAGCTGAAGCTTCTGAATGCTCTTCAAGGGCAGCCCTATGTAGAGCGTATTGCAGTAATCCAGACAACAGGTCACGAGGGCATGAGAGTAGGGCCTCTTGGTCTAGGAAAGGCTGCAGCTGGTGCACAACCCAAAGGTGTGCAAAGGCCTTCCTAGTCATGGCTGCCACTGGCCCTTCAAGGAGGAGCCATGAGTCCAGGAGGACCTCCAGATTACACACCAGGTTGGTCTGAGGCAGTGCCACCCCATCCAAGGCCAATGATGGAAGGTTCCCAGCACCAGAAGGTCCAAACAACCAAAGCCGCTCAGTCTTGCTTATGTTGAGCCGAAGCCTGTTGTGCCCCATCCAGGCCCCCACAGCCTCCATACACTGGGGCAGGACATCCACAGCATCACTTAGGCAGCCTGGGGTGGAGATATAAAGCTTGGTGTCATCAGCATATTGGTAATACCTCACCCCAGTTTGTCAGATCACCTCACTCAGCGGCCTCATGTAGCTGTTAAACAGGAGGGGAGAAAGGACCAAGCCCTATGGCACCCCACAAAATAGGGTCTGCAACCGAACTACTTTCCCCCATCAATATTGACCAGAACTGGCCCTGGAGGAAGGAGGAGAACCAACACAACACCATGCTGCCTACATCCAACTCCTGGAGCTGGTCCAGAAGGATACCATGATCAATGGTATCAAAAGCTGCTGAGAGGTCCAGAAGAGCAAGGATAGATGCATTATTCCCGTCCTGCTCCTGCCA